GAAGACAAGCCATACTTCAATCAAAGGAACCTCAAGTCAGCACCCTGTGAGTAAGGGTTACAGCGCCAAGCCAGATATTAAGAAGACGAAGACGTCGGCGAAGGTAAGGGTATCTCAAAAAAAGCCACGAAAAACGAGGAAGAAGAAGCTAGACGGTGGAAAAGGTAAAGAGCCGCCATCTTATGCCAAAGTTGCCAGAAGAAGACAACGGGCTATTAAGTTTACGATGCCGACAATACAGCAGACCTCGTCAACAATCGCAATCGCTTCAAAGGGCAAACAAACAATAGAGAGCGTGAGCTGCGAGTTCAGCATGGGCGTGATGTTGATGAGGTTGGCATTTCACCAATGTGTTAGCACCCTAAAGAACTTGGTGGAAAGTATCCCTCCTCCCTGGGACGGCGCTAAAATGGGTCTGGCAAAGAAGAGCGAGTTTCCGGAGCTCTTAAAGTCCACTGTCTATATAAAAGGATGGGGCAGCAAACTGGCTAATATATGTATACTGGAAATTCTTGGTGGTCAAAATGCTGAGCTGGCCGTGGAAAAATGAGATGTCTTTGGCAGGAAAGAAGAACCAGAGGGAACTTTATTAGTAATAGGTATCTACCAGAACTCCATGGCTAGTCTTGCCAATAATTATGCAGGTGTCGATTAAAAAGACTGGAATATGCCTGATAAGGACACCGTAGAGCCATCAATAGCATCCACAGCATTAATAGCCACTTCAGGCTACCCGGAGGAGTAAAATTCAAAGAGCGAGGAGGTGATCACCAACTCGCAGGAAGACAGTTTAATAGATGACTATGATTGAGGTTATCCAAATAATCCTATAGAGGTTTATCAACGCTCTGATGGCTACAATTAACACAGGTAAGATATGTACCTATAGCTTTAATCAAGCAACCGTGGACAATTCGCAACAAGGTTTCTGGATTAAATTACGTAAATTTCCAACTTTTCTACGTTGATACAGGGTCTCGCCCGAGAACATGTATCTTATGTCACAAGAACTTATGTTTTCTCCTCTCAACAGGGTTATCAACATCGAATGCAAGGGTGCTGAAGCAAGGTCGTGGCAACATAAACCTTGCATCTGCTTACTTGCTCTTATATTTTCCGACAGTACCACCAACGTCGGATCTGATGAAACTGGCTGAAGAGGCACAAAGGAAAAATAAGAAAATTGTAAAAGGTTGCGATGCCAACTCCCACCATTTAGCTTGGGGTAGCACAAACACCAATCGCAGGAGACAACTTAATACTAAGGACTTGATCACATTGAACTTAGGTAATAAAGCTACATTCTTCAATAGAATCAGAGAAGACGTATTAGATATAACTATATGTTCAGAAGAGCTTATAAACGAAATTCAGGATTGCACGTTGGTTCAAATCATCACTTTTTCAGTGCGAAATTAAGATGGACAAAATAATGAAACTCTTTAAAGTCTAAGATGGAGCATATGCATAAATAGGTATATTAGAACAAATTTAAGTGGAAATTAACCCTTTGGTGGTTATTAATCCATTGTCTACAATTAAGATGACTTATATAAGATAATTATTTTCATTTTGGGAGGTCTTGTCGGACTCCCAAAAGTTTTTTAGAACTAATTTCCAGCGCGAGGGTCTTTACTTCCAAGCTGCGGTTGAAACTGCCCGAAATAATAAATCAGTTTTAATACAAAAATTTGTTTTCCTTCCTACCGCAATTTTCCATTTTGTTGCTAAGAAATTACGAAAATTCGGACCTTTAAATACTGCAATTCCTTGTAAACACCATCTATAACAGGATGACAAAAATACATGTCTGATAAGGACATCATCCTTTGCGTAGTGCTTTAATCAAATTTGAAAATGCTTATAAGGTAGCACCCTAGAAAATATAAAATAACTCAAAACGCGCAGAAATGCGCAATTTCGGGTAAAGTAAAACTAATTCACAACATTTCAGGTTATTCATTTCTTCTTATTTCAGGTTTAACAAACATCAACATTTTCTTAAAAGCTTTCATGAAGTTAAAATTTCAAAATCAAATTAAATTTTTTCAAGGTTATTTTAAATATTGTCTTTTTCGAAGTGAAGGAATATTATTTTCAACCATTTACAAGAATATATAAATAAACTACTGACACCTCTAAGTGCTATCCATTTGACAGTTATTGAAATTTATTTACATACTTTCCAGAATTAACGTTTAAAAATAATGATAAAATATAGACTCTACAAAAGAATTTTTTTAAATATTTTGAAATGATGACTTTGACTGCGTGCAGTAGAACAGTGTTTAGCATTTCTCAAAAAATGATTGCGAATTTGAGTATATTGGTGTATTGGTAATAGGATGATATCAAAAAAGAAATTATATTCACTGTTCCAAAATTTGAATTTCGCACAGGAAAACTGGTAGTTTGAACTATAGTGGATTGGAGAGTTTCGGACGAGCACTTCTTTTTCTGACCATCGGTACATAAGATTTAAAATACTATAGCCGCCACCAAAGCCGATAAAGTTTCGGAATAAGTCTAAAACTATTTAGACAATGTTCGGGACCTTACTAAAGAACCGTTTATGTCAGGACACTTTTCAATTTCGAAATAAAGAGGACATAGACGTCAAAGTCGAAATGCTCACAAATGCCCTGGTTGAATCGTTCGAGGGCAGCTGCCCTCTGTGAGAGCGGAAATCTGCCCAGGAGAAACCCTGAGCTGCGAGATGTACGATATAAATGCTTTGGACAAAAAGTGTAATATCAAACTACTACAGGGAGTTCTGCGTACATGCTGCTTTGGTTTAAGTGGTGCCATGTGTTCTACTTTAACCAAGGCTCTGGAAACGTTGCAAGATATTCCACCCATTGAAACATATTTAAGATAAGAGGCGGCGCTTACAGCCGAACGGCTCTATACTTTAAGCGAACTGGTCAAATAGGACAGGTTATCAATGTATACTGGACACATATGCTGGGAGATGTACGATATAACTATCCAGAAAAAAAAGTATTTCGCGGAACACCACATGGTGGTATATTTACTCTGGGTATCACGATTAATAGCCTCCTAAGGACCCTAACCGAGATAGGACTTAGACCTATCTGCTATGCAGACGATCTCGTAATACTTTTAAAGGGAAAGGTTCCAGATTACTTGTGTAGAAGAACTGAGGAGGCTCTGAATACGACCTTGAGCTGGGCTCAAAAGAGAGGTCTCAATGTGCCTCGGTGCGGCGCTATATATAGGAGAATTATAGGCATGAAATGGGGTATTAGTCCTACTATGATAAATGGCCTTTATAAAAGTGTAATTAGAACAATTCCAGCTTATGTTTCAATAATCTGGTGGACTGCTTTGGACAAAAAGTATAATATCAAACTACTATAGGGAGTTCAGCGTACATGCTGCTTTGGTATAAGTGGTGCCATGTGTTCAACCAATTCTGAGTGGACACACGGATCACACCTAAGCCGCTAATTAAAATTGGTAACACTCAAAATCGGTAGCTGATACTAAAGCTTGTACTAAAATCGATGAGCCGTTAGAAAAAGGTACGATTTTGCATTAAATGCAATAAAAAGGTTTGGTCATGTGTATGAAATTTATTTCAAAACTTTATATAGATTTTCATTTTAACGGTTTTTATATTATTTATTCATTTAAATTCAGAAATAGAAGCAGCACATAAATATAAACAATTAGTTATTGGCTAACCAGAATAAAAATAGCATCAATGTTTCTTGTGCACAAAAAACGCAGTGTTTTTCTTTCAAGAAAAACTGACGAAGCACAACCTAAATATATGCCGTTCGAAGAAAAATAACCACTTTGGATTTAATGCAATTTAAAAAAATCATTCGAATATATGCATTAATAAATTTAAATCCTCAAAATTTTTAATCTATCAAAGATAAATGAATATTTTTTAGTTAATGAGTATAAATTAATGTATTAATTCACCATTTTAGATATTCTATAAAAATGTGTGCTTAGTTTTATAAAAAAAAATATTTTTGAATATATATATTTGATAATATTCAAATATAAATAATATAAAAATAAATATGTATAAGTAATAAATTGAATCGTAAAAGCAAGAAAGAAGGAAATGTTCTCTTACCAATGATCGCTTTTGTATGGCTGATGTATCGTATTGTTTATCGGTCAATAGGCAGATTAGTTATTTCGAATTCCTAAATCATCACTATAATATACCCAGCAAAAAATAATTGATGTCATACTTTACAAACGACATCTTAATCACATCTAAAAATGCGATAACATATTTTTCGCTTTTATAAACCAAATATTTCATTACAATAGTGAGTAATAAGATGTAGAAAAGTCACTACAAATAACATATCAAATTTTGGTGAACGACTAATGAAACTTACATAAGCGTGTCATTGAAAGAATGTGGTTTATTTTTGACATCCAAATATAGGATTTTTACTGCTCCTAATAATAAGATTAGATGTAGTTCAAAGTTGTCAAAAATTAACAACATCTCTCCAATAACACGGTAATGTAAAATTCATAGGTTTTTCACTCGAATTTGAAGTACTTCGGGTTACTGGTTGTGATGGAAATACTACATCTTTTTCCACACTTCTTTTATTATATATTATATCAATTTACTTTTACTAACCTAATCCTGTTTAATATAACCTTAGTGATTCAGAGTCTCTTAATGGTTCAAGCAAAAATGGCTCACCTATTTTTTTTATTAAATTTGGAGTTTTTAATGGCTCGACGACTGTTATTTAAACTTAGAAATAAGTAGTTATTTTATACTCGTAATGCACACAAGAAGAGCTCTATAATTAAATTATTTCATTTTATCATAAGGTAAAATATTAAATAAAGGAAGACAATTCTTCTTCTTTTTATTAAACTAATCATTTTTGCGTATTATTAATTTTTTGTGTATTTTCATTGAACCATATCGGATTGACGCCGAAACAATCCTTTATAAAAAATTGCCATGTATGTATTTATGTACTTACCTTTATTACTCCCTCTGTATCGCATCTAAAATTGAAGTCTCCAAAAACAAAAAATGGCGCTAATCCATTTTTTTCATCCAAATGAAATCTGTTGAAATTAAATACAGCAAAAATATAAGTTATTTATTAATCACCATTTTATAAACCACTTACCTTTCTAATGTATGTACTAAAGCTCTTCTCCTTGTTTTGCAATAAACAGACGGAAATTCTTCACATGCTGCTAAATTAGATGCATCATGAAAGAGATGTATATTGACTAGATCAAACACAGTGTTATTAAGATCCCAACGTGTCCTCATGAACCCTTTCCTAGACCATTTGCACTATAAAATTAAAGAAAAAGTTTATATAAATTGTAAATTACTTCTAAGGAGATTTTAATAACCAGTGGTTCTTCACTAGTTCAATAGGTATTATATTAATTTTAAAACGTTTTATTTTTCTAATATGTATTCACTACTGAAAAATTTAATTACAAAAGGAAAGAATATAAAAAATTTTAAAATAAATTTAACACGGACTTAAGAGTTATAATTACACTGAAAATAATCCATGCTCAACTTTACGAAAAATTTCGTAACTTCTTTTTTCGTAATATTTACAAAAATTTCGTGTATAATATGAAATATTATTTTTTTCTATTTTTACGAAAGTACGAAAACCTTTCGTAATATTTTTTTCTTAAATTTTAGCGAAATTAAACATAATGATATTAATTATATTATCGTTAATTAAAACTACAACATTTTTATAAAAATTAAGAAAAAGCATAATATAATTCACGAACTATTTTCATAAAAAAATTTAAAATTCGTATGGAGAATAATTTTTAACTAATATTAAAAAAATTATTTTAAAATGAACAAAAATGTTTGCATAAATTAATATTTCGTAAATTTTACCATATTTATTCAAAATTCACTTTTTTCAATTTATTTAAATTAATTTTTCCAAGATTATTTTGCATTATACTAAAATATTTCGTACAATTTCGTATATATTACGAAAGAATTTCGTGGTGCGAAACAACGAACGATTCGTATAATGTACGACATTTTTCGTATATATTAGGCATGGATTTTTTCAGTGTATAACATTAAGCAAAAATCTCGAATTCTTTTACTGTAACGTCATCTCAAATGTTAAAGGGCGTAACAACCAAAAAATTTTAAATTGACTTTTGGATTGAAAATGGACCTTGCCCATTGAAATTCCTAAAAAATCACATAGACAATGTCTTGGAGGCACACTTCAATACAAACGTTTATTGATGTTGTGAAAAAAGCAATTTTTATAAAAATAATAGTTTTACGACCATTATCAGCAAAAATATTTTATAAATTTAACTGAAAATATTAATAAAACTTAATAATACTTAACGAAAACTATTTAACTTTAAGTTATAATTTTCGTTTTCATCATCCTTCAGTTAGAAAATTAAACGCTATATTCGGCTATGATCTTAAATACCCTCCACCTGTAAATACATGACTAAATTCTAATAAATTTGTAGTGAAAGCATGAAAAATTGAACCCAATTAACTCATGTAACTCTGCTATAGAAACTGTAATATTTCACCATAATAATTCTCTTAGGACCAATCTTTAGGTAAACGTTAGCACCATACACAAAACTGTTTTTACTTCTCAGTAGTCGTGTTCAGTTCGGTTGAGTTGAAAAAAACTTAACATGGCCGCTGCTTGTTTGTGTGGCTGCTGAAGAAAAACAAAACCACTTGCTATTTATTGCAGCAGTGTGTTGACACAGTTGACTGACTTCAGTTAGCTTGTGAGGAAAAATAAATACTTGAACTTTATTTAGTTCAGTCCAAGATATATTAATTATAAGGTATTGTTATCAGAACAGCTGATCGTTTTTTGCTATTATGTTCATTTTTCGCCGTGGTGTATAATTAATATCAAACTTTGTTTACATTTTGTAAATGTCAAACTTTGTTTTCATTTTGTTAATGTCAAACTGGTTTCATTTTGTATATGAGAATTTTGTGATTAAAGTGAAATTGTGTGATTAGGGTATATTTTTGTGTTTTTAATCTTTAAAAGTTAAAACATCAAAATAAATTATAAACAGATTCAAATTTATAAACATTTTTTGTTTAATTTAAATTCGTTTTGATTTATTTGTCAGCTGTTTTTGAAATTTTTCCCTTACAGCCAATTCAAGTGCAGGACAATGTCAAACTACATATAAAAAAATATAACCAATTCGCTTGGTATTCTGAATTCGCCGATGACACTACCTTATAAAATTAATATACCTTGGTTCAGCCGAAAATTTAGAAAATAAAACTAAACATTGAATCCTGGTTAAGATAGATTCTATTCTATTTTTATTGTACTCTCTGGCGATCCTCTCATTGTTCTCTTATTTTTATGTTGTAGCGTTACCATATGTTCATAATATGTTGCTAAATATCTTGCAAAATTGAAAAAACATGGCTGTTGCAATGCATATTTTTGCCATGTGTTATTATTATGAAAGATATTAAATTAAATAAAATAAAATGAGAATCCATAATATACAATGATGTGAAAAATAATAGGGACAACAATCATATTTGATCAGAAAATAAGTAAAATAAGAGAATTGCTAGAAAATAACTACAGATTTTTAGGTAATATATTAAAAAAACGAGTTCCATTGTGTTTTTCAAAATGGTTGTTTTTATTTTATTTTTTTTAATAAATTAAACTTAAAATGCTTAAGTATTTATATCTAAGGCAAGGTACAATTCAACTTAAATGCTTTATTATGGCAACTAAATCACATTATATTTTTGTCAAAGGTGTAGGGTATTATATGGTCGGCCTCGCCCGACTATAATTTCTTACTTGTTTTAATTAGAAATTGATGCTTATTGATTCGAATTGCAATCATTTTGTTACATATTAAACATAAAATAAATGAAAAATTTTTAGTTTAGCTTTTTTACTTCTATCGGGATGATAAGTTTCAAAATACGACGATGGGTAAAGAAGACCATTTGCGTATTTTTCAGATTTATCATTCCTTGATAAAAATTATTCACGAAAAGATAATTGTACTTCTAAGATGTCAGACAATGTTCGCACAAAGTATCGTTGATGTGCTTTTAAAAAAATTTCATGATTTTTTTTAACCCTAAATAAAAAAATAATTGAATACTAGCTATACCCAGTGTGTTTTGCTACCATTGACTAAATATTATTATTGTAAATGTATATACATACAGTGTCTCTCATAAGTATTCGAATTTAATGTATTATGAAAACAGACATCATTTTATAATAGATTTTGTGGGAAAAATAAATAAATAAATTTATTATGTTGTCCTGACAGTCCTTAAATTTTATACCACATTTTAAAAATTAAAAAAAAAAATAATTTACTTAAACTAATTTAACTTTTTTTAAAAAAAGTGCAAAAAATAGCTTCACAAAATTATTCGAATTTTTTGTATAAATCATATTTAGATTAGCATTATGAAGTAAAAATAAATAATTAAAATGAAATTAAAGTTTTGTATAGTAGCCTTTGTTTTTAAAAACAACTTCCAAGCGTCGTGGGACCGTTTCTACCAATTTATGAAATAGTTCTGGCGTTATTATGTCCCATTCTTCATGCAAAGCAACCGTATGGTGGTTTTAGAGGATAATGAGTGATTTAAAAGTTGTTCTTGTAAATATAACCACAAATTTTCAATGGAGTTTAAGTCCAGACATTAACTCCATTGAAAATTTGGTGAAAGAAGATACTTAGTGTTGTAAATGATCAACATTTTCACGTACCAGGTCGTGTATTTTGGATCGTTTTTCTGTTGAAAAATAAATTGAATGGGTTGTAGCCCCATTTTGGTGGTACTAGCATGCAAATTCTGCTCTAAAATTGACAAGTGGACCTTCTAGTCTATAATTACAATAATAAATTTTAGCAGTCCAACACCGTGGACAGACACAGAACCCCAAAATATGGCAGAGCAACTTGGGTCCTTTACAGTTGGTTTTAAGTTAGATAATTCCAAGGCATCTCCAAGCTTTCGCCATATCATTTGACGACCATCTGAGCCAAAAATATTATATTTATTCTAATCGTCGAAGATAACTTCCTTCCAGAATCCAATATTCTTACTTATGAGTCTATTTGCGGAGTCAAGACATCGATTAACTTCGATATGAGCGGTTTCCACCTTGGTACTTGACCATGCAAATTATTGCTCCCTAGTACTTTGCGCACAATTTCGACACTCATTTTTATTCACAGGACTGTCATGAGTTCGTTGTTAATTTTTGGAGCTGATAGATGAAGGTTCCTTCGGTATTTTCTCAGTATTTCTCTGTCGTCCTGTATTGACAGCAGATTTGGACGACTTGATAATGGTAAATACTCGATGGAATTCTTTGTTCCATGCGTGTAATGATGTCGATGGGAATCTATCAACCATTTCCTATATGTATTTAATTGATCGGCCTTGATTATACGGATATAAATTAATTTTTTAATTTGAATTGATCAACTCTTTTTCTTTGAACATTTTAAGCGCTTACACAGGAAGGATTTACAACATAATTATGCAAATTTCCAAAAAATATAATGTTAAATATTCCATATAACCACTACCTGCATAATGGGTTAATTAATGGGCAATAAAACACGTGTTCAAGGATTCTAAAAAAGTTCTTAGAAAAAATTCGAATATTTTTGCGCAGTACCTGAAATGACCCTTTTTGGGTTTTTTTTTCCATTTTCTTGGAAACCATTAATGAGTTTTTATTACTTTTTTTGTATTTCGTAGAAATAATATAAATTAATAAAATTTCATTAAAAAATTTTAAATACTATTATTATTTTTAAAGTAACATCATAAAATAACACAGTAATCCATAAAAAATAATAAATTCGAATATTTATGTGAGACACTGTATGTATATCTGCAATATCCAAAAGTCCCCTGTAAGAGAAATCTATATAAATTATATAAATTTGATGTTATGATTCTAGTCTCAATATTACAGACAATTAATTAATTATGAAAAACGAAAAAGTACCAGACAGTGACTTTCTATGGATTTTTAATAAATCATGTTTAATTTTCAACCAGAAATTCCTTGCAGCATCAGGAAGCTGCGTGTCCACTTTTATGTTTTAAGGTTCAATATTGTATTTAATTTTATGTTTATATATTCAATATTTTAGAAAACTCAAAAAATACCAGTTGAAGTACGAAAAGTATAAATAGTACCAGTTAAAGAACGAAAAAGTGACAGAAAATACTCCAGTTTAAATTTTCATTCACGCAAGTCCCTGATTGCTTAGTTTTATGTT